TTCGTAAAACTTATTACATTTTCAAAGACTTTAGTTCACAAATACGCAACTGATTAGAACTTACGTATCTCCGATTTTATATCTACATTTGAGTGAGGTGGGAGGGGGTGATGTGGCATTAACACAAGACAGAACAAGAGGGGATATTAATAGGGTATTAAAAGTATCAACACAAGACAGAACACAAACAATGGGTATTGAATAGAAGTGTTTGTAGAAAGCCTATTGGTCCATATTTCTTGATGCTTCTATATTGGAGCGGAGTCTTGAGGTGGGTAGAATATAGTTGTGCAATAATTGGCTGTTGATTGCTGGTGTTGACTTCTTGATGTGTAGTGCCTCGCAAACGTCAAGCCGCCTGCTATCGCTGTATCTATCGATGATTTCTGTGTTGTTTACTAGGATTTCTCTGGTGATGGTTTGGTTGTGGGAAGAGATTATATGTTCCTTAATGGAGCCCTGTTGCTTATGCATCGCTAAACGCCTAGAAAGAGATGTTGTTGTCTTGCCTATATACTGGGTTTTTTGGAGCTTACAGTCCCCAAGTGGGCATTTGAAGGCATAGACGACGTTAGTCTCTTTTAAAGCGTTCTGTTTCGTGTCTGGAGAGTTTCTCATGAGTAGGCTGGCCGTTTTTCTGGTTTTATAGTAAATCGTCAGTTGTATCCTCTGTTTTTTGTCTGTAGGGATAACGTTTCTATTAACAATATCTTTCAGGACCCTTTCCTCCGTTTTATGAGCTGTGGTTCCTGTAAAATAGTCTAATAGGGACGAGACAATCGGAATGATAGCCGACAGAGTGTATCGTGATCCAGCCTGTACTCCTCTTGACATGCCAGAAAATATTCTGAGGAAACTACTCCAAGCTTGTACTAAAGAGGCACCCTTCTTGAGCCCGGATGGGCACATGTATAAGCAAGTAGATGGGGTCGCCATGGGTTCTCCCCTAGGTGTCCTGTTTGCAAACTTCTACATGGGTACCATCGAGCAAAAAGTCTTAGTCGACATGAGCTTGAAACCGGCCATATACTGCAGGTATGTTGACGACATTTTTACACAGGTACCTGATGTCAGACATCTGCAGGAGCTGAAGGAGGCATTTGAGCAGAGTTCCGTGCTGCGTTTCACTTACGAGATGGAAAAGGATGGGAAGCTGCCCTTTCTAGATGTAACAGTCATGGAAAAGGGCGGAGGTTTCCACACTGCAGTCTACACTAAGGAAACAAACATAGGAATGTGCCTAAATGCCAACAGCGACTGCCCTGACAGGTACAAGAGGAGTGTTGTTAACGCATATGTCGACCGTGCTCTCAGCCACAGCTCAGAATGGAAGCAAGTCGACGAAGAACTCTGTAGGGTAAGGCAGGTCCTAGTCAATAACGGCTTCTCCAATGGTTTCATCGAAGACATCATAAGAAGGAAAGTGAAAAGCCATGCAACCTCTGAAGAGACAACTAACACAACACCTATACCCCCTATTAGACTATTTTACAGGAACTTCTTTTCCACAGCTCATAAAACAGAGGAAAGGGTCCTGAAAGATATTGTTAATAGAAACGTTATCCCTACAGACAAAAAACAGAGGATACAACTGACGATTTACTATAAAACCAGAAAAATGGCCAGCCTTCTCATGAGAAACTCTCCAGACACAAAACAGAACGCTTTAAAAGAGACTAACGTCGTCTATGCCTTCAAATGCCCACTTGGGGACTGTAAGCTCCAAAAAACCCAGTATATAGGCAAGACAACAACATCTCTTTCTAGGCGTTTAACGATGCATAAGCAACAGGGCTCCATTAAGGAACATATAATCTCTTCCCACAACCAAACCATCGCCAGAGAAATCCTAGTAAACAACACAGAAATCATCGATAGATACAGCGATAGCAGGCGGCTTGACGTTTGCGAGGCACTACACATCAAGAAGTCAACACCAGCAATCAACAGCCAATTATTGCACAACTATATTCTACCCACCTCAAGACTCCGCTCCAATATAGAAGCATCAAGAAATATGGACCAATAGGCTTTCTACAAACACTTCTATTCAATACCCATTGTTTGTGTTCTGTCTTGTGTTGATACTTTTAATACCCTATTAATATCCCCTCTTGTTCTGTCTTGTGTTAATGCCACATCACCCCTCCCACCTCACTCAAATGTAGATATAAAATCGGAGATACGTAAGTTCTAATCAGTTGTGTATTTGTGAACTAAAGTCTTTGAAAATGTAATAAGTTTTACGAAACGCGCCCGTGTCGCGTCAGACTAGAAATAAAAATGAACTTTGGAGAATTGATTTTTGATTTACCTCCAACAGTGAAGCGTAATGTACGAAAGATTGAGAAAATTCGTGTTAGAATTATTAATCTTACTTTTTCGGTCATATTTAATAATCCAGGATATATACATATATATATATATATCCTGGATATATATATATATATATATATATATAATATATATATATATATATATATATATATATATATATATATATATATATATATATATATATATATATATATATATATATATATATATATATATATATATATATATATATAGAGAGAGAGAGAGAGAGAGAGTTTCTGAGGGTACCACCTCTGGTGCCAATATGGGGACCCATAGCCTCGGAGAAGAAAATAAAAAGTATTCAGAGGAGACCATGTGGTTTCTCACTGAACACTAATATTATCCTCTCCTACCACCCTTATTCTTTTATATGTACACATATATATTTGTTTTATTTGAACTTTGTTACAAAAAAGGAGTTTTATATAGGGTACAAAGATGGTTATCATAGGTTGTCGAGTTCCTTCAGCTCCTCAGATGGTGGCAGGAACCCAGAATGCAGTGCGCATTTCCCCTCTGTATCGCCATGCTGAGGCGCTGAAAAAGAAAGCTGGCAGCTCTAGGGTCCCTTGTTGTTTCAATGAGCCTAGAACCCAGTTCCTTCAAAAAACTGGTAGCACTTTTACCCCAGGCGCAGAGTGTCTCAGAAGCAATTGGGACAAAATTGTAGTGGTGATCCACTTCTCTGTACTTACGAGATTTGGCTGCTTCCCTGTGGGTGGCAGCGCCACCTGGTTGTGCAACACTGAGGTTAATGTAGGTGTTAGCCAGGGTTGATACGCACGTGTAGTCCCATACCAACTGCTTGCCATTCTTCCAGGGGTTCACTGTGATACCTTCCAGGCGACCACTAAGAGCATCAGAGTTACGAGCCGTTAGGTAACGGGGCTCTCTTTCAGCTGGGCATCCAGCTGTGGTGAGGCTCCTCTTGATGATGTCGTTAACTTCATTGTGCCTCGAGTGCCATCCCCTTGTGCTTTGGCAGATTAGGCCATGGTGACATGTGCGTACCTGTCAGCCACCACCTCGCTGCAAATACACCTATATCTGGTATATATATTGTGACGATAATCTCTTTCAAGTGAGATTGAGCCTGCTCTTCCCTACATAAAGTTACTTACACATGTACAAGAATAAGATGCTACCTTCAAGATACGTCTACCAGTAGCACAAAACGTTTTGACCAGGAGGTAAAACGTACCGTAAACTCCCACTCCACACTCCCTCCATGCCGGCTCGCCCGTCGTCAACCAGCAAACTGCCATTCCAGCCTTCCTGCTTCTGATTGGTGACCCGCCGTCTGCACACCTGCACCTCTGCACCTCGGCGCCCTCTACCTAAGTCGATGTCTGGGCTTGAACCAGCCATTGAAGTCAGAATATCCTTGTGCTCTCAAGCTGTGAACAACTAACTGATATACGCTGTCTATCAGGTGGATGTTTCTCAGCTAGCACTTTATTCTCAGCACCTGTTTATGTCATTTTTTCTTTATATTATTCCTAGAGTAATTTATCCCTGCTCTTAATTTTTATGACTTGTTTGTTTGCCCTGTACATAGCCAAGGTATTGTCTTTGTTTTTAAATTTGCTTTCCAGTTAATTAAAGTTTCATTGTTCATACTATGTGTTTTGCGTGTCTTCCCTTACTCTACCACAGACAACAGCCAAGCAGTCGCTTTTTTTTTGTAAATGTGACAGGCATTGACACCAGCCATTAGGAGGACTGCTGAACATCTACACTCCTACACTTTCCCGTCACAATATATATATATATATATATATATATATATATATATATATATATATATATATATATATATATATATATATATATATATATATATATATATGCCTAGAAGGGGTACCACCTCTGGTGCAAGTGTAGGGACCCATAGCCTTGGAGAAGAAAATAAAGAGTACTCAGAGAAGACTTTGTAGATCCTCACTGAACACTTTGATATTTTAAACAACAGTAGACCCAACAGGTAACAGTAGGCAGCAGCACTAAAACACTAAAGAACCTACTAAACAACAGTAGGCCCCAACAGATAAAAGTAGGCAGCAGTAAACAACAGTAGGCCCCAACAGATAACAGTAGGCAGCACTAAACAACAGTAGGCCCCAACAGATAACAGTTGGCAGAACTAAACAACAGTAGGCCCCAACAGATAACAGTAGGCAGCACTAAACAACAGTAGACCCAACAGGTAACAGTAGGCAGCACTGAACAACAGTAGATCCAATAGCTAACATTAGGCAGCAGTAAGCAACAGTAGGCCCCTACAGATAACAGTAGGCAGCAGTAAGCAACAGTAGGCCCCGACAGATAACAGTAGGCAGCAGTAAGCAACAGTAGGCCCCAACAGATAATAGTAGGCAGCAGTAAGCAACAGTAGGCCTCAACAGATAACAGTAGGCAGCAGTAAGCAACAGTAGGCCCCAACAGATAACATTAGGCAGCAGTAAGCAACAGTAGGCCTCGACAGATAACAGTCGGCAGCAGTAAGCAACAGTAGGCCCCGACAGATAACAGTAGGCAGCAGTAAGCAACAGTAGGCCCCGACAGATAACAGTAGGCAGCAGTAAGCAACAGTAGGCCCCGACAGATAACAGTAGGCAGCAGTAAACAAGAGAACAACATACCTGGTGGCACATATAGTAGACTGTACAGTCGCCAGCGGGGTCAGCGTTCAGGCCCTCCCTGTGACAGGTGGGACTAGGGGATGGGCTGGGACTAGGGGAAGGGCTGGGACTAGGGGATGGGCTGGGACTCGGGGAAGGGCTGGGACTAGGGGAAGGGCTGGGACTAGGGGAAGGGCTGGGACTAGGGGAAGGGCTGGGACTAGGGGATGGGCTGGGACTCGGGGAAGGGCTGGGACTAGGGGAAGGGCTGGGACTAGGGGAAGGGCTGGGACTAGGGGATGGGCTGGGACTAGGGGAAGGGCTGGGACTAGGGGATGGGCTGGGACTAGGGGAAGGGCTGGGACTAGGGGAAGGGCTGGGCCCCAAGGTGGTCGTAGAGGACACGTCCTGGAAGAACCACATCTTATACACCTCCATAATGGCTTGCAACAATATTATTCATATATTATGACTAAATAATCACCTCATAAATCATGTGGTAGTAGTTTTATAACATTTCTGAGGGTTCAATGATATAATTTGTTAACCAAGAGACAATAGAAATAAGATTTTATATCAAGGTGTTCTAGTAAGATCGTCCCAATATTTGAGAGTCATATACATATTTGCATTTTATCCTATTCAGCATACATAATATACTATTATATTGCAAAAATTTGGTTCGATTACCGTTTTGATTAATATCGTTTACAAATTAACGAGGTTGAAGAAACTGTTGAGAATATAATGCCTATTTATAGTGATCGATAATTGTCTTATGTACTCGATAATTATCACATGAAATATATTATACTTTTGTTATACAACCCTTACTTACCTTACTCATGGGTAACATCCAGTTTGCCTTACGCCTGGGTAATATCAAGTTTGCCTCACTCCTGGGTATTATGCAGTTTACCTTACTCCTGGATAATAACCAGGTTTACCTTTCCCCTGTCTATAGCAAATTTACCCTATTCCTAGGAAGCTACCGAGTGCCAACTCCGATTTTCCTGTTAAGGAAACATAATGGACAACGTACTTTGTTAATTTTTCTTATATTCAAAGGTACCTAATAGGAGCCACGTCCCACTAATGGTAAATGTTTAACTGATCTTTCCATTAGAAGCTTTTAAGTGTGTAATTAGATATTCAGAATTAGTAATTGATTTTAAAATATTGTGCAATGAAAAATTATAAGTAGCAGTTCCCCTGGGTAACATACAGTTTACCTTTATCATGGGTAATATCAAGTTTACATTACTCTTGGGTAATATCCAGTTTACCTCACTCCTGGGTAATACCTAGTTTACCTCCCTCATGGGTAATATCCAGTTTACCTCACTCCTGGGTAATATCAGTTTACCTTACTAGTGGGTAATATCCAGTTTACCTCACTCCTGGGTAATATCAGTTTACCTCACTCCTGGGTAATATCCAGTTTACCTCACTCCTGGGTAATATCCAGTTTACCTCACTCCTGGGTAATATCCAGTTTACCTCACTCCTGGGTAATATCAGTTTTTACCTCTGTTTACTCACCATGGGTAATATGGCCTGTAATATCAGTTTACCTCACTCCTGGGTAATATCAGTTTACCTCACTCCTGGGTAATATCAGTTTACCTCACTCCTGGGTAATATCAGTTTACTCTCTGGGTAATATCAATATCAGTTTACCTCAGTTTACCTCACTCATGGGTAATATCAGTTTACCTCACTCCTGGGTAATATCAGTTTACCTCACTCCTGGGTAATATCAGTTTACCTCACTCCTGGGTAATATCAGTTTACCTCACTCCTGGGTAATATCAGTTTACCTCACTCATGGGTAATATCCAGTTTACCTCACTCATGGGTAATATCCAATATCCTGGGTAATATCAGTTTACCTCACTCCTGGGTAATATCAGTTTACCTCACTTCTGGGTAATATCAGTTTACCTCACTTATGGGTAATATCAGTTTACCTCACGCCTGGGTAATATCAGTTTACCTCACTCCTGGGTAATATCAGTTTACCTCACTCCTGGGTAATATCAGTTTACCTCACTCCTGGGTAATATCAGTTTACCTCACTCCTGGGTAATATCTAGTTTACCTCACTCCTGGGTAATATCGTTTACCTCACTCCTGGGTAATATCAGTTTACCTCTTTCCTGGGTAATATCCAGTTTACCTCACTCCTGGGTAATATCAGTTTACCTCACTCCTGGGTAATATCAGTTTACCTCACTCCTGGGTAGTTTATATGGGTAATATCAGTTTACCTCACTCCTGGGTAATACAGTTTACCTCACTCCTGGGTAATATCAGTTTACCTCACTCCTGGGTAATATCCAGTTTACCTCACTCCTGGGTAATATCCAGTTTACCTCACTCCTGGGTAATATCAGTTTACCTCACTCCTGGGTAATATCAGTTTACCTCACTCCTGGGCAATATCCAGTTTACCTCACTCCTGGGTAATATCAGTTTACCTCACTCCTGGGTAATATCAGTTTACCTCACTCCTGGGTAATATCAGTTTACCTCACTCCTGGGTAATATCAGTTTACCTCACTCCTGGGTAATATCAGTTTACCTCACTCATGGGTAATATCCAGTTTACCTCACTCCTGGGTAATATCAGTTTACCTCACTCCTGGGTAATATCAGTTTACCTCACTTCTGGGTAATATCAGTTTACCTCACTTATGGGTAATATCAGTTTACCTCACGCCTGGGTAATATCAGTTTACCTCACTCCTGGGTAATATGCAGTTTACCTCACTCCTAGGTAATATCAGTTTACCTCACTCCTGGGTAATATCCAGTTTACCTCACTCCTGGGTAATATCCAGTTTACCTCACTCCTGGGTAATATCCAGTTTACCTCACTCCTGGGTAATATCCAGTTTACCTTACGCCTGGGTAATTTCCAAGACAGTCAAATTATCAGGAGAAAGTGCCAAGCCATTACTGCTATACAGCACTGGGGAGAGATTATGATAAGGATTTTGGATGGAATGGTGGAAGGGGGATGATGTATGGTGCCCAACCACTTGAACGGTCGGGGATTGAACACCGACCAGCATGAGGCGAGACCATCATGCTAATGGGATGGTCTTGTCTGCTGCCCTGACTCGTCTCCTGAGATCTTTGTGGTGATCATATCAACCTTGCTTCTCTTCTCTTTCAGTTACGTTAGATGTAACGCCCTAGTCTTTCCGTGTAACGCATGCCTCTCAGCTCTAGGTCCAGTTTGATAGCTTACATCTTTGACTTCTTGAGCTTCATGGTGTTTAATGAATTAAGGACTCCACGTAAGTCCCGCATATATTACAATTATCTGACCTATGTGACATACACGCCTCTGTACATATTCCTAAAGACAGCCCTTATGTTGGCCTACGTCGCATGTGTAGATGATGATATTAGTTTGATGTGGGCTTATGGTAAGAGGTTGAGGGTATCATCAACCCCAAGTCTCTCTCCACACAAGTCCAGCAAATGATTACTGTCACATTGTCATCTTTTGTCCGGCTTACTGCTTCCTGCATTCATTTTCGTTGGTTTGCATGTACTTAAGTTAAGCTCTAGCAGCCAGTTGTTCCACTATTATTTCAGGTTGTCCAGGTAATGTGGAGTGTGTGTGTGTGTATTCACCTAGTTGTGTCTACAGGGTGAAGAATCTACTTATAGATCATCAGTAGTTTCATACAATGACTCTTTCTCTCATTTTTCTTCGTATATACATTTAAAACTTTGCTTCAAGTTGGCCTAGACAACTTCCTAACATAATCCGTCCAATTTACTGACCGCTCTTAAACTGAAAAAAAAAATTCTTTCTGACATCACTGTTGTTGGAAATTTCCAAAATTAATAAACTACTATTGTATTATAATAAATCATTATCATCACATACTAACTACAGTAGTTACTAATTTCACTAACGGTAGTGTCAACATAAATTAGCCATTGCATCTGCGTATTAATGCTAGAATTCTCATGAAATCGAGTAGCAACATTGCGTCAGATAATGTCCAGTTAGATACGTTTATTACCAATGTGTTAGAGAATTGAATGTGGTTCTCTAAAATTATCAGTATTCCGTGTAATAATTACCTACGGATAATATAACTCCCAATAATCTAAAACCGAGAGTTATTAACTAAAATTGTTATCAAGTAGTAGTCTTATCTGTTACGTGCGAATGCCATGGAGAAAATAAATTCTTCTCCATTTCTCGTTTAACACCATAAAACGAGAATATGATAATATTTAAATCCCTATAATTGCAACCCAGTTCTCATTAACGTATTACATCCATAATTGTGCGGAAAAGAATTATTCGTGATTAATAATTTCTGTGGTGAATGCGAGAGACGGGTTGAGGGAGGCGGAGACGCCAATGTGCCAGAGAAGGCATCCCTGGCGTGAAGAGTGGCGAGACACGTGGTAGTGACTGGGGAATTTATCGGCAAGAATTACACTGATACTCGGTCAACAGTTAATAATTACTTATCCACGTGTTCCATAGTGCCCAGCCAGTTAATAACGCGTCAACAATTGAAGCCAAGACCCGTAATTACATGTACACAGCAGTGAACGTCAGGGACTGGCTGACGCGGTTCCGGCAGACCTCAATACTCAATACGCTCACGATAAGTATATGTTTCTCGTTTGATGCATCATCCTAGATAATATATATTTGTGAGTAGTCTGTCGTTATATAGCGAGGATACCCAATATACAACGTTTGTACAAGTTCGGCAATTTCCTCCGTTTTCATGAATATTGAAATTATAACGTAGCCTATTCATATGCTACTTAATTTTCTCTGATTTCAGCGTGTATGCGAGGAGTCATCAAGTTGTTTCTCTTCATTCGTGTTATTCACCTCTCGTTCTTTCTCTGTGGAGATCCTGTGAACACGAGGACGAATGACGAATCTATGTTAGAGAAATCGTCTTAAAGCTAAGACCCTTTTCGTACAAATTTATTTTATATGATTTGATTCTTATATAATTCTTGTAGAATCTTTACATTGAATAGATTATTACCAGAAATGATGATTGGTAATCAATGTGTTTGCTCTGACTGTTGCTCAGTAATTATAATCTTTAATATTCACAATTCGAGTTCTCATATTTGAATCTATAGTAGTTTAGATTTATAATATCATTTACTCAGCAATGAACTGGTGGCGAACCACACTGGTTCCTAGATGTATATGAATTTCTAGAAATACCCCCCCAATGTAGGTCTTTGAGGCTCTGACTTTAATTAATTAATAATACAGTCCATTCATTATTACAAGTGATTATCCCTTTAATAATTATCCATAGACACTGGTTCTCTAGTGTTATTCTAATGATCACTTTTATTAGTTTTCCCTCTTTTCTCAAAAGTGGGTGGTCCTGCGA